AGATTTAAAGAATGATCGGAAATGCGAAACCAAAGAAAAAATAATTAATTTTCTTTTACAGCATAAATTGATTACTTATGGTAGCCGACACAAATCTCGATTCTGGCATCTGGCAAGTGATTGTAGTTGAGAGATGGGAAGAGAATAGTCGGTTACTACGAGACCTGGAAACATAAACCATGATGCCAACTTTAAGCGATAGCGTGGCTAGCTTGATGTTTTCAGACAAGGTAGTATTTTACCTCAACTGAAATGGCATGTAGTGAAGGCCAAGATCGCAAATCCGCGCCTTTTCTATGCATCGTCTATCTCAAAATAACTCTGAAGCTGAACGTGTTCGTTTGAATTCTTCTTAGCATATCTGCGTTGATGGATGGGTTTGTACACTTCTTCAGTTCGATGCTGGGGAGATAAAGTGTATTATTAATTTGTACAGTGTAAGCCTGCGACTTGACGTAGTAGGTCCAGAGTCACTGACTTCTTAGGACTACCACGCACTTTCATTATGACAATTTCGATAACATATTCCTAGGCGCTAGGACGACCTAGATAATTGAAAAACAGTGTAACAGGCAATAAAATAGTAAGGAAGAATAATCAAGACCTTCTGTACACCAGTTAAAACCAGAGCACAGAAACGAAATCACTTTGCAGGGTGTGTTACAGGCAGGAATTAGGTCGTGTTTGCAAATGACTTAGCTTTGATCGAAACTGAAAGTCTGCGGCCCGCTGCACACGATAACATATTGACGCCTAATAACCTTCAGACCAATGTTTCTCAAACCTTTAACTGTCGTGGAACACTTTTGGCAATCCTTGTTCTGTGAGAAGAAGCACAGATGCATTTTCTACCACGGGTGCATAATACCCTTTCAATGCTTCAACTTTCACGTCTCGTAAGTTTACATCATGCATTAGTGAACATCGTAACTGATCTGAATCTCAGATTCTGCAAATAAAATTCAATACAGAAATAATTTTACTTTTTCCCGTCACACGCTCTCCAAGACTATTTTCCTAAAGAATTGCTCACTTTTCACGTGCTGGGATTACTATGACAGTCATACATTTTCATTAAAAACTGAGTTCGCTTTTCTTTGTATAAATGTCAGCTAAGTATGTTTCCCTTAGAATCAAACACACAAGAACGCATAATGAATACCTGAGGTAATCGAAACTAAATAATACAATTTCTAGACGTACTGCGATTACTGTAACCAACAAATTGTCTCGCGATATAAATTAAACTCCCGAGTGCAGCAGTGACGTTGCATAATTGCTACCAATTTCTGTACAAAGAGCACTGAAAATTAAAGAAATCAACTGCTAATGGACTCTGATGCAATGGTTCGAACATGTGTAATAGGAAACCACGTGCTTTTACTACCATCTACACCATCGTCCTAATTTTAATTAAAAACGACGTTTTGAAGACTGGAATCTGTCTCCGTCCGCAGGTAAAACCTGCTCTGTTGAGTCCAATCGATACGTCTAGTCCGTATTTCCAGAGATCGATTGAGCCCATCAATTACGATTATAGATAATGTCCAAGAAGTCTGTTACCGTAAGAACTGGAGATATTTCAAAAACGTAGACGGTAAATAAGTAGATCTGACAGAATGTTAATTGCATGAGAATATTACATAATAAGAAGCTACTGTTCGCCAAATATTATTAGAATTAGACAGGCGGAGTATACAGAATTTTAATTTGATAAGCTGAAAAATAAAGACCGCAAGATAAACACATTTAAAGATGGGAGGATAATGTTAAAATCTAGTATTTTATTTAACAGTGAAATGAAATGAAATTAATAGATTAGCGAAGAGATTAAGTGTAGTGAAATTGCAAGGACCTCATTCAACGTTCTATCCCGGCTTTGATCTGTAGTTACAGTGTACTGAGGAAAGCCATGAAACATTCGTTCGTTCGTCGGTTCCGTGGGTGAAAATCGAACTTGGCGCTTCAGAAATTCAGTCGAAACGATACTGCTTAAACTCACGCCTACAGTTAACACATTAATTCAAATGGCTTAATTAAATTTATGACTTTTATTTAATTTCAGTTGAGTGAAAAGTTTCTGACAGACACATGGCGCTGTACTTGAGCGAAGACAATTTGACGCTGTGACAGTGTCACAAACAACGTTTGAAAATTAGTGAGGAATTTCGGGGCAGAGTTTTAAGAGTTGTGTGAGGGGGCTACAGTAACTTCTCAGTCGCGAGGAAACGTGACGAACAAGTCTGTTCTTCCTAGATGTCATTTTTGGATAGATTTGATGACTACCTCCAACAACCAGAGTCCTTGAAAAGCTAACAGTACCCTCAGCCAGTCAGCGAAATTCCTCCCTGTCATTTATAGAATCCGAGTGTTCATTACAGCGTTCACAGCAGCCCACCACCAGTCCTCATCCTGAGCTGCAAGAATCCCAATTCACATAAACTTATTTTCCTTAAGATCCATTTTAGCATTATTTTCACATCTACGCCTAAGTCTTCCAAGTTTTCACTTCACTTCCGTCTAGAATTGTGAGATTTCAAGGCTAATAATTAGCAATGAGACAGTAAAATTCTCCTGGCTTCCAGCAAAATTTTCATGAATGAAAGAAAATTACTAAAACGAACATACCCAAAACATTTCGATATCAATTTGTCCACAACAAATCTGAACTCCGTACATCGAATACGCTCTGTTAAAAGGAAAATTGATTGGCCTAAAATTAACAGAACCTTTCTTTGGCATTATTCGCTCACGTTTTTGGATCGTGTGTTAGAGGGCTTCGAGAGGTACCACCGCCGGTAGAAATCGTGGACCTCCCTGTGGGAATGACTTGCTAGATTCCTGGACCAGATTGTCTCCATCAGCAGCACGCACCAAGTGTGCCCAGTTTCAGTGCAACAGAGTCTCATGTCTCTGCTTTATAGGTAGGGCCACTGCAAACTCAGCTGGTGGCCATTTTGGCAATCTGTTGCATGGCCCGTCTATATCAGCAGTTCCCATTCTTTCTTTCTTCCTATAACTGCAATAGATATTTGCAGAGGCCGCATTCATAAACAGAAACAAACTGCTGTGGTTTCATTTCAATTTAATTTAATTTCTGTGGCAAGCTTCCCGGTATTGGAACCAAGACAATTCAGGAAGACCGCTGTCCTTGTTGCCTCTACAATCAGAGGACGACCTACCCCTGAAACCCTGGTAAGCTTCTACCAGATTACATGGTCCTATAACAGAGAGGACAGCCGACCAGCCATCTTCGTACTCACCGCCGTGAGAACCTCAAATCCTACTAAGCTGATTCAGAATAATTAGCGTAAAAGATGGCCCAATAGGAAGGGAGACCACAATACTCCGTCCTAAATCCGGTTATTTATAACAATTTCATACACGACTACCATCGACAGCCTCTGGTCTAATGCATTTTCTCAGCAGTTTCACTTTAATGCTTAAAATCACTGTTTCTGCAGTTTTCATCATTCCAGTCTCTTTAAGCTATCAACAAACATAATATCACATGTCTTTCATAGCTAGGCAACACGAACAGTTTAATGCATATAGCGATCTGTGTGAAACTTGAAAGACTCGTCACCATGAAAACACGAAACAACCACCACGCTCTCCATCTTGACTTGGATTTTTCATGGTTTTCCTCAGTCCTTCCAGGCAAATTCCGGGATGTCTTAAATTAGGCCACGACCGCTTACTTCCACATCCTTTCCAATTCACTATCATCGTCTCGTTCGACGCTATATAATCTGAGCTACAGGAAAAGGGTCATTACATAAACGACAAATAAACCGTGTATGTCCTCCCACATGGTGATAAGAATAGATGGGCCATACAAGAAATAGTTTTTTTAACAAAATAATTATTTTGACTGAACAACTTATAAACATTTAAGTACGCTAACTTGTATTTGGGAAGCAGGCGATTCGAATTTCGACTGGACATCAGCTATCCTGAGGGCTTTGTTGGTTTCTCTCTATCATTGCAACCAAATGCCGAGACTAGCAACTTTAAAATAAGCCGCGGCCGATTCCTTTCTTAGTCGTCGTACCTTCTGATTCGAAGAAATAACTTCGGAAGTCGGCACAATGTCGTTAATAAACTATGACACAAATCTTGCGTAATAACATTTTGTTGAACCGTATAAAATGTAAGTCAATGCAAATGGTCGATGTTACTAACACAGACTGTCAAAATAACAAAAGAACCCTATCACTGAAAAAATAAAGAAATACAATGTGTTCAGGCAGATGCCAGTCAAACAATGCAGGGAAGATTTATCACTGAAAAGCGAACAAATGGATAAATTCGTACCATACTGTAGGGTTCTGTATCAGAATGAACCAATCGCTTCCACCTCAAAATAACGTATCTGTTAATGCTAATGTAGTATCGTATCCCATTGTTTGCCTTATTTCTGGGTTTCAATAACAAGAAATACGTACAAGAATTCTTGTGTCCGTGTTCGGCGATTATAATAATTTTAACAACACTAACAATAAAAATAATAAACATAAGTTACGCAAAGTCTTCGAAGTTCAAAGAAGATTATTCATACTTGATTTATTATTTTCCTGTACAAAACAAAGAAGTGATAATACTTCTATTAGTCAATGCTATAACAAAGTAATTTTTAAAACATTATTTGCTATAAATTTTATATCAAGAGCCCTTCTACGAGGAAATTAACTACGCGTTTCTAGATAATTAGATCTCTTAAAATAAAACACAAACTTTCAATACTGTTAATAACAGGTCCAGTCGTCGGACACGATTTTGATGTCTGTGTACTTCCTTTAAAGATAACAGTTTAAATTAAAATGTTGACATGTGTAGTGTAACATTTTCCGTGACGCTGAAGGATTTAAATGCACTTTTGAGTTTGACTTCAATTCAGGGTCGCCAAAAAACATAAAATCACAATATGAGCCACTTGGAATACCTGTGCTTTGATTGGAAAAATAACTGGAAACTGATTTTAGAGAAATATGTTCTGAGGCTGTTGACGTTCTGGAGATTCGGTCAAATGGCTTGCTTTTGTGAACCGATTCTTACTACTCACTTCGAGCTGTATTTATTTCTGATAACAAAAAACCACATTGAAAGTATTTTATCAAGGTCTCTCACAGAAATCATTATTACTAAACTGTTATTAGACTTCTTTATCTTTCAAAACCCTTTCACCTATCTTTGCAAGAACTCCCCGTCCGGATGTTTGTTCCACACTCGGATTCCGGCCTTGTAATTTAATGTGTGACCTTCCGGTTAACTTATATATAACTACAGCTCTTGAGAGACATGGGTGGCGAAGTCCCTTAAATCACTTTTACGTCGTAGTACCATGCCCCTTTACAGGCTTCCAAAGACCTGTCGAATAACACAGGGCCAAGCGGCTTTGTTAAATTGAATCCTTCAATTTTGGATAAATCATTGCAGCAGGGCACGTGTAATGTGTAGAATATAACCTCGTCAAGTATTGGTACTACAAAAAAAAATGTAATACTTCGAAACTTTACTAAAATTCAGTTCAACAACATATGCTTTGCGAGTATGAAGATGTCTTCTGTGATGTAACGCCATGCTCTCTCATAGAAGTTGCATGCATTTCTAGGGATAAACAATTATGGAATTAATTAGTTGACTGTCAAAAATTTCCTCAGTAAAGCAAAGAATTCAATATTAGCAGTAGTACTGTACGAAAGCAGATTTTGGATTTAACAAATTCCTTTCGTACATCGTGCAGCTGTTAAAATTTTAATTATGAGATTTATGTTTTGACGGCAGCAAAAATTTGGTTCGTGTTGTGACGCCGTGCAGTCTTTTAGGGGCTTGCAAACATTTCTATTATCTACGATGTGTTGTCTGAAACGTCGGTAACCTGCTACAAGAGTACACGGTGTCATAAACCATAAGATCACGACCACAACTTTAATTATGTCTTTACGGATTACATTTTCCGATGCATACAAAACAAATCTTTCCCACACAGAAATAAAGGTAGCAATAATACACGCAAACATTTTTTATTGTTGCTTTCTTTCAAACAACCCTTTGCTCTAACATGTATTAGTTTAGTTTATTTTCACGATCATACAGCAAACTACCTGGAGTTTCTTTGTCCTTCATGTGATAATGAACCAAAACGGGCAAGTTCTCTTGAAATTCTGCTTTTATATAACTCAGCCAAAATTCTGAACAAACCTAACCTAACCTAAGATCACAAACGCATGTATTATTTTCAAATTCTACTTTTAAGTAACTCAGCCAAAATTCTGAACTAACTACGATTAAATATCTCCTTCTGCAGAAACATTTGTAAGAAGCTGACAGAAGTTACTGTTGTTTCGTTTGCGTAACTGACTGATCGACTGCTGATGTTTTTAAAACTGTTAATATAGTAAGTGACGCAGATTTCATTTCCTTCTTACATTATGCATTATCAGTTTCACGCACTGTCACTATTTAAACCAGTTTTCATGCTGCTTGTACGCCAGCAACTTGTTTAAAAGTAGTTAAGTGCCCGTTCTTTGTTCGCATTTTTCTCAAGTTTAAAAAGCAACCAAACCCCCTTCGGGGGGTTGGTTGCGTTTTAATGTAAGACATTAAACTAAACCCCCGAATGGATGGTTAAAACACTTGACCAACCCCCCACCCACATTCGGGGGGTCAGTTTAGTGTCTTATTCAAGTGTTTTAACCCTTGAATGATCAGTTTGACTTGGATGAATATTATTATCAGTATCAGATTACCTTGTTGGTGTTGGTAACGTCTTCACTTTTCTTCATTTTTTAAATAGTTCTGATGTTTTAGTTCTTTATGTCGCTGTTCAGAGACGATGTGCTGCTTCTGGAGCAGTGATAATGCGACTGGCTTGGTACTAAGCGTTATTTGTTTACTCGGCATTGTTGTGATGTACACGGCATTGTTGTTCCACAACAATGCTGAGTAAACAAATATATGTTGACATTGTTGATGACGTCATTTTTTGAAGACAACGACTAATCACAAATTTTTATAGTAATAAAATAAAGATCAGTGACTGTTGGAGGGCGGACATGCATATTGAAATTATTAAACTGCTCATTGAATTTTTGAAATAACATACCTCTAACAAAGTCTTCATTAATAGAAGGTAGCTGTCTTCTGGGTTTGGAGCGCCGTTAGTCTAATAGAAGTTTACCAACGTTTCAGAGATCCTTGTTTCCATCATGACTTCATCATCCAAATAATTCATCGCCTTCACTATGGAGGCAGCAAAGACCTCCAAAACTTTTGAGACAGCCATATTCGTACTCGTAAGAACCTCAAATTCTACCTTCATCAAAGCTTTTGACTGCGTACATACTACATTAATATTTTGCGTTAAATTTGAATAAACTCCATAAACAATCAAATAATAATATTTCGCTACAACGTCTCAGCTGGCACCTGAAATTTCAGTACTGCAAGGACAAACACAGTTAATATAATGTATAATTAAATCATTTTTAATTTTTGTACTGTTTTTCCCCCAAGAGATCAGGTTTGCAAATACTAAATAGATTGCATTTTGCATAAAACCATGCGTATTTGTCTACCAACGAAACTCCAGTAGACATTGTAAGAACTCAAGTCTCGTAGCAGCAATCAATGACACAGGAACGGAAGAAAGGGAGGACTGGAGGGTTATATATTACAGACCATTTAAAATCTCGAATTTAAAAGAACTATGTCATAGTTAATACGAATAACTGGTCACATTACAGGAACTTCTTTTGGAGCCAAACGTAATATTTATCAATGACGTTTCACCTGTATGCATTCTGCAGTATAAAATGCAAAGACATTAATGAATGATGAATAGAAAGGGCTATTGGGAGACAGTTAGCGGTCTGTTTCAAGGCACAATCCGAGCAATGGCCTCGGCGTACTTAGGGAAACTACACGAACCTCACGTTTGGCTGTTTTTCGGAAATATAAAAACAAGACCAAAGTCTCATATTTTGCACAGACAAGGTAGGGTCTTAGTTTTTAAGATGTTTAA